TTTAAAATGCCACTTTTATTTTTAAATGCTATAATTTCATTAACATCTTTAAATTTTCAAAAATGTATTCATTAATATATACTATTTGAAAATACTCAAATATGACTCACAGTATAAGGAAAAAAAATCCAGAACAATGTTTATGCAACTGAAAGGCTGGTAACAGCAGTAGATGGCTAGATCTAGGGTGTCCACTAATGTCTTTCCTGTATTTGACCAAGATGGCCTCTCTCATCCAATTCTCTGAACACACTGAACTCACTCATTGCTTTGTAAGTATCTCAAAACAAACTCCAGAGTGTTCTCATGGAAATACATTATGAAATATAAAGAGGAAAACAAGAGGACATCCACCACCATTGTGCTTCTAAACCAGTGGTTCTCAACCTGTGGGCTGTGACCCCTCTAGGGTCAAACAGCCCTTGCACAGGGATCACCTAAGGTGATCAGAAAACACAGATATTTGCGTCCCAATTCATAACAGTTATGAAGAAGCAATTGTATGGCTGGAGGTCACCATGACACAGGAACTGGGATTAAAGGATCCCAGAATTAGGAAGGTTGAGAACCACTGTTCCCATCAGAAACTCTCAGGTTGTATGTGCTGAGAGATTCATAGAATTGGATAATGATGAATCAGCCTCCATCCATCATAAATACCTATAATCTTGGATCAACTATTAATAATGGGTTTAAAGTCCCAGACCTCCACTTAACTGCTTTGCCATTTAGCTTCCTTACAGAGCCTAAAAATGCCACTGGCGTCTAGGAGTTCAAATTATAAATTATAGTTGTCTCAAGAACTACAAATGGCTGCCCGAGACTTTTAAATTCATTTTCTCCTAGGTGAAATTCAGAAATTTCACTGTCTCCAACCACTCCAATCCCCTCCCCTATCCCTCTTTGCCTGCCTTTCCCTTCTGAGATGTTACTGGAACTAGATGTTTTAGAACCTGGCTAATGTGTTTAGAGAGGCATGAGAAGAGGGAACATCATTGACTCACTTGGAGTAAATCTCCCATAATTCCCTTCAGCTAAGAAAGCATGAATGACTTTCCAGTGAACCAACCTAGCATCCTCAAATCAAAACATAAACTGGAAACTAAAACATCAGAACAAAGCAGGAGGAATCAGTTTTCCTTAGGAAGATGTAAGAAGGGACAAAGAGAGGCTTTTGAGCTGTTGCCTTGGCTGGATGTTGGGAAATGTTTCTGGTCACATCATGGACAATTTTTAAAATATCCCAGAGCTGCCTGTTTGATTCAGAGCCTAAGAGACCACAATAAGCCAGGTGTCCTTGGGCTGGAATTAAGCAGGATTCCAAAAGCTCCCACGAACATGGAGAGTGCGTATCTGCAGAAGCCTGGGAAGGGGAGGACCTTGCCTAGCTTTGCTCAAATCCCAGGAATGAAACCCCAGAGTATTCATGCAGCTGCCCATACTCCCAGCCACTCTCAGTCTGTGCCAGCTGCTGATGACTAAGAACCACAGTTTCAGTTCCTACAATCTCTCTGAGTGGGGTTAACAGCTAACGTAAGGACCCCAAGCTACATATAAGGTGTCTTGACATAAAATAGACCACCCCGTGGCATCCTCCACCCCATGACCAGATGAGAGGGGTGAACATGCAAACATAGAGACAGACCGAGGTTCTCCCACTTTTAAGATCTAGACTGTCTGACCTCACCTCAGCTCTGTGCTCTGGACCTGGCAGATGCCTTCGCTGAGGCTCACAGGTCAGTGACACCCCGGCCTGCATCCTCAGACTTGCTTCTCATGTTTTCTAACAGGTCCAACTTGGGGTTCAGCATGACGCTGGATTTTAACTTTGCTAACAGAGGCGCCTAGCAGTACAATGGAAGGCTGGATGGCTGAACTTTAAGACATATTATTTGACATAATCAAGAAAAAAAGTGTCTGGTTATCAAATGCTTTGCTTGCAGTCAGTGCTATACATGCCACTGGTATATATATGCCCGATACTCGGAGAATAGGATCAAAATGTAATGATAATGATGTGTCTTAATCTGAGATTACATTGTTGACATATTTGCCATCTTCTCCAAATGGCCAGGTGGCAGTCCCAACTCTGAGGATAGAATTCTGCTAGCCTCCCTCACCGGTGCCTGACACATGGGAGCTACTTAACATTTGTTGATAAATAAGCCTCAAAGCAAGCATCCTTTAAGCTTCCCCGAGAAGCTACTTCAGACGTGTACAATTTCCCGAGATTATGTGCACTGTGCATGCATTCATTAATAGGCTGTTACACAAGAGGCACGTTGAATTTTCACTTCAAACAGTTTAAACACAGACTGAACACCTCTCTCACACCCCAAGCTCAGCCACATGAACAGGCATCCAGGATGGAAAGAAACATCCAACTGGGTCCTCTGGATATGAGTTTCCTGTCCCTGACCTGTAAAATTAGGATAAAAACATCCCCTCATTGGGGCTGGAGAGAGGGCTCAGTGGTTAAGAACACTGTTCTTCCAGAGGACAAGGGTTCAATTCTCTGGACCCACATGACAGCTTACAACTGTCTATAACTCTTAATCCTAAGGGATCTGACACCTTCATACAGACATACATGCAGGCAAAACACCAATCAATGCTCATAAAATAAAAATAAATAAATAATGTTTTTTTTAAAAAATACCCTCCTTTCCATTGTGAAAGGCTTTCTGGACCTTGCCACTGACTAGAGAGCTCAGAAGGAAGGCTTTCAAGCTACAGGTGAGGGGTGGTCCACAGAGCTGGAAGACCCAAGGAAGGCTTTGGGACAGCCATGACAGACAGCCCTCGGGGTTAATTCCCTCCTTTAACAATTCATCCCTAAGAGGAATACCAACTGACAGGAATCAGCCTTGAGGTATGTAGATGTAAGCTACCCAAGAGCCAGAAATATCCCCAACAGTAGACAGCCATTACGAGCCTCCTGCTATATTCACTGGCAACCCCTCGGCATTTTCTGGGAAACAAATAAAGCATTTGACTTGACTGAGTTAGCGTTTAGCCCTAGCATCTACTTACAGAAAACCTGGGTAGAGGCATCAGCAGAGACAACATGAAAAATGGCCACACAAATTTGGGGTGAGAGAAAAATTGACCAGGCCTGTTAAAGAAGTCAGTGATAAGCGGAGAAGGAAACAAAGGGGAAGAAAGGAGACATACAGAGACATGGAGAACGCAAAGCAAGTTTTAATATTACAGTCAAATATAATACATCTTGTTTTTATTTTCACCTGAATCTGGTTTAAAACAAATCACATCTATAAAACATATTTTTGGAACCACTGGGGAGACACGAAGTACACACTGGTTATTAGATGATATTGGGATACTATTATTCACTGCATATGCACATAACGGCATTGTGGGCTGTATAGCAGGACACTAATTTCCTTGAGATACATATTGAAGACTCAGGATGTAATGTCATGATGGTAACATTAAAGAGGCTCAAAAGAAAAGCCAGATGAAGTGAATTCAGCTGTGTGTTAACTGCTGGGCTAGGTAGCTGATAGCAAAGGTTCATCGTATTATTATTTTGTCTGAAGAACAGTCTTGCAGATTGTTTTCATGTTCGTAGGCAGCGACTTCTCAAGAACTTCCTTCACAACACTGCAGGCTCCTAACTGAAATAAATGGTTTTCTGTATTTCCCAAAGCTCCCCTATCAGGCTGATATATGACTGGCCACAAACAGTGCCTATCGAGGCACATGGTACCTTTAGGAATGGCTTCCTGTCTTAAATCAGTTTCTCAAATTCCCATTAGAGGAAAGGACTTGTTTATTCACCTAGAAACTGGCCCCTTCCGACTGACAGTATATCTTTGCCCACACACCTCACATAAACTGACTTTCACTTTTTCTTCCTAAAAAACCTGAGCTTTGTCTCTGAACTCTACAGAGCAGTTGGAGCTCTTTAATATTTTCTAAGAGAAACATTTCAAACAAGCAACCCCACAATTTATTCACGTCTGCCAAGAATAAAAGTAACAGGCTTCCCCAGCAAGGCCTTCCAAAGCTTTGCACGACTTTCAAGGCTGAGCATCATCCGCTCATCCACCCGCAGGCTAGCTCCCCCAATGCACCAGTCATTTGTTTGGCTCTGGGGGAAACTACTTGATTACACAAAATTCTTTTTTAGATCAAGTTTGAAATCTTAGCCACACTGGGACAAGTGACGAAGCCTGCCAGCTCGATGGGTTGACTCCTGGACATACTGAGCCAGGGACAAAGACAAGGAGCCACCACAGGTTAAAATCCAAAGCTAAAGGAGCTGAAAAGGAACGAGAGCATAAAAGATTCACGGCTCAGCCAGGCCTTTATGAGTGCATTGTCTGCCATGACTGCATATAAGATGATGTGTTCTTCATACTTCCTGTAAATGAGCACTGTGCCCTGAGGGACGCTGAGAAGCATGGGTAAATGCAAAAGCCAACAGGTCCAGCGGCATCCGTCCACTGCTGGGCCACCTATGCATTTTGAAGTTGGCAAGTAACCAGACATATTTATGGCCCCCTATTTTCCATACCTTATTATAGAGTACATCATTTTTAAAAGCATTTAAATGAACCAGACGTTAACCCCATTCATTCCACTTTCTCCGGGAATATGTCAATAATGATTTTTAAAATGCAAAAGAAAATGTCAAAGTATTTTGTTCCCTGGTTAAGAATACATCCGTGGAATAGGAAAGAGGAAAATTCATAAAACACTCTATGGTCATTCAAGAAATAATTATAAGGTATGTCAAACCACAGAAAATCGAGCAAGCACTAAATTAGCAAAAAAAAAAAAAAAATGTCTTGTGTCAAAATGGCTTTTTCACTCACTCATTTAAAAACAAGTTCTGAAAATTAAATTCCATCCACCAGCTCAGAACAGCACACATTAAGGTTTGACTGTTATGCCATTATCCATGCAGCCATGCTCGCTCACTCACTCTCTCTCACTAGAAACTGCATTAATTGACAGGAAGTCTTGGGGCTCACCTCCCATAGTGCCTTGAAGTCTTCCTGCTCAATGCGGAGGAGCTCACTGCTCTCCCTGGTAACAATGGTGGCATGGCGGGGCGTGTTGTCCAGTATGGACTCTCCAAAGGCTGTCCCGATCCCCAGGGTGCAGATGGTCACCGCATCCTGAGAACACCCCCCACCAAAAACAAAACAAACAAAACACAGTCATTAGAAGATTAAAGATGCAATGGCTGAGAGACTTGCTTTTCCTTTAAACTGAAGTACAATTTGTATAAAATAAGAACCCAGTTTCATTGTGTGTTTCAACACACTTCAGCAAATACATACACTCATATCAATGACATCCAATCAAGAATTACAACCTTTCTTTCACTCCTAAACGTTCTCTGTATCCCTGATCAAGTCAAGACCCTCCCATCAGAGGAAGTAACAGTCCTGATTTCCATCCTTAGAAGGATGTTTTGCCTGTTGGAACTTGGCTTCTTTTGCTCTCCAAGTAACCCACATTCCCACGCAGCTCAATAGATGTTTTTCCTCTTGTAGGTGAGTAGTTTTACATTCCATGGCCATGCTACCATTTGCTCATCCATTCTTATCCCAGGACCACAAGGATGTTTCTAGATTATGGATACTGTGAGTACTGCTAATGACAATAATCTGATCTTTGTATAAAAACTGCCAGTTGCCTTAAGAACAAACGCTTACAGAAAGGGGACTAGGTCTTTTTTGGTGAGAAGGAATGATCACAATTTTCAGGAAATTGGAACAGGACTGCTATTGTACCTGGGAATCCAAGGTCCCAGTGGTGAGCTCCCAGAGGCCTCAGCTCAGGCAGCAAATGATAAGAGTCCGAGCTTTCTGACTAGAGAGACCAAGCTTTTGTATTATGCTGCCCCCTGCAGTCATAACAGAGGAAAGACAGCACCAGAGAAAGTACTGTGTAGCTATCTATAAACTGTCATTGAGTTTGTGCTCAAGAGAGTTCTGTAGAAATTGTAAAAACTAATTCCTCTCTATATGTAACATTGGCAAGAGCATTTATATTTAATCTTAACCACTTTCAAACAATGCAAATATTCACTCAAAACCATCTGGAGATTAATTCTGCAGACATTGTAAGCTAAGGATACACACAAGGGAGACCCTTCAAGTTAGAAGGCACACTCTTCCTTTCTTGCATCTAGGACACAATCATAGACAAATATTAGCAAGATTCAGTTAGTGATTCTGCAATCACATTACTAAGACAAATACACACAAGAATCCAGCCCCTTGGACCATGGTAAATTGCATCTGCAAAGACATTACCCTCTAAAATTGTGTTCAGGAAAATAAAAACCAATTATATTTCAGAAAAGGAAAGACCTGTGGCAAATTTAAGAACAGTCACTGGTATATTCTCCAGAAGAATGTCTGCAAACAAACCCTTCAAAAAGCATTCCCGGAACTGAAATATATCAATAGTCGGGAAGTTGGCGAATAACTTTCAAGTTCTATAGAAAAATGAGATGGATTGTGACAAATCACAGACTCCCACAAATTTCCTAAGACAGGGGGGCTCTGGAGGCTGCACCAGACTACCATACTTTTCTATCAATTTAGCTTCAGGACCAATTTTTTGCCTAATACATACTTTCTGGTTTTGAGACTCGTTTATTTATTTGATTACTTTGTTTTTCAAGACAGGATTTCTCTGTGTAGCTGTGTCTGTCCTGGAACTCTCTCTGTAGACCAGGCTGGCCTTGAACTCACAGAGATCTGCCTGCCTCTGCCTTCTGAGTGCTGGGATTAAAGGTGTGTGCCACCATATCACGGCTGGTGTTAAGACTTTTTAAGACTTGAGAGGGACCCATCATGAGGCCTGGAACAAGAAGGCTGTGAAGACTTCAGCTACACAGGAACTAGCTGGTGCTTACAGATTAATCAAGGATCTCCCTCTAAGGGCAGGTTAAAGGAAGACCACAATTACCCAGATAAAGAATTAACAGGTATTTATTTGGGCAGCACAATGGTAAATAGCCACCTAGGTCTTCTGCTCCTGGAGAGGCAGTCTCTGCCCTTCAGGATGCTCCAAGAGAGCAAGCCAACCTCTCCTCTTCCTTATAAGGGGGTCACATCTACACACACTGAAGCCACACCCTAAGGTGTGGCCAGCACCCCAAGTCCACCCACGGAATAAGAAACCACTACATTCCTCACCTCCCTTCCTGATACATGTAGCCTGTCACCAAAGCATGCAAAGATATGGGCTGTGGAACTCAACCTGTCTCCTTGGGAGAGAATTACTGTTGTAATGAAGACACAAGACAGAATGCTCACATTCTCTGGAGCTTTCAATTTACCTAGGTTGTGGTGGCATTGTTACCTGCACTGCTTGGAATATTCCACTGAACAGTGATGTCCACTGTAACATGTGCCCATCACAGTGCAATTCCATCCAAAAATATGCATGGTCACCAGAAGTGACTGTGTTATCAGCCCTTCTTAAATGCCCTTCTTTGTGTTCGATCCAGTCAAATTTAAAGACGCCCAATGGTAGAACACTTGCCTAGGATGCACAAGGACTTGGATTCGATGCAGCATGTCAGTTAAACTACACACATGCTCTCATCTTGAAGTTCTAGCGAGGCAACCTCTCCACATTGTTTGCAACTCCAAACTTCAATTTCATCAGGTTCAGAATAATTCTAGGACAGATTTACTTAGGAGTTGGAATGGATGTGGGAGGTGTTGGGTAGACATTGAGATAACTGAGCACAGGGAGACTGAAGAGATTGGAAACCACTGTGCTTTCTAACCAACATCTTTGTGGTTCATGGTGCCTTGCCTTGTTGACATCATAATCTGGGCATCCTACAGACTCAGGAAGAGGCTACCAAATAAAAATCACATCCAGACATTCTCCACGCACTGGGATTAATATGTTGCTGTGAACACAGGTTGGAAGGCAGGATAAATGTGGGTGACTGTAGAAAATCCTGTGTCCACACTGTGATTTCACTATACCCCACAGGTCAGAATTCAAAGCCTAAATCCCTACAGATGCCTCTGCCCGTTGCCAAACATGTCTGTTTCTACATGCAACATGAGATTTCTTTAAAGCCAACATGGAGGCTACAGGTTTATTCTTATCACATCACTTATCTCTTAGGGGCCATTCAGGAGAGTGTTTGTGACTTTGCTTGCTGACAGGTTGTTCACTGAGAATGGAAGCATTGACTAAATGCCCTGTCCTGAATTATCTTCGAGGACCTTTCAAATGAGAAGTAAAGATTCAAGAGTGTACACGACTTCACAGGATGAGGTGGGTTTAGCAGAGGCTGCTGGAGCCCTATCAGGTTACCCACCTGTTGTTGGGTATTTGTACACTGTGTGAAGATGTGTAGCTGTGATTGACTTAATGAAGAGCTAAATGGCCAATAGGCAGGCAGGAGAGAGAGGCGGGACTCGTGGGCAGAGACAGAAAACTTGACATGAATCTAGGCATGAGAGGAGAGGCATGGAGGGAGTCAGACACACAAAATAAAGAGAAAGGTAAAAAGCCACAAGGCAGAGGGTAGATTAATATAAATGGGTTAATTTAAGTTGTAACAGCTAGTGGAACAAGCCTAAGCTAAGGCCAAGCTTTCATAATTAATAAGTCTCTGCATGTCATTATTTGGGAGCTGGCTGGCGGGACAGAGAAAGACTCGTTAGGCCTACCCACTTCCCAAACCACTGTGGCTTTCCACACAGATCCAAACACACACTCAAGGTGCCGCCTGGAGCATCATCACCCAGCTGGGGAAGAGTGCTGGGCAGGCACCTTTAAGACACATCCTTCTACACAGATGTAGGGCAGTGGGAGGACACAGCAGCTTCTTTGCCCTTCTCTGGCGTGAGCCCAGCTTCCCACAGAAGAAACATACTGATCTACTTAAAAAATTTTTAGTGTATATGGGTGTTTTGCCTCCATGTATATTTGTGCACTGCAAGTGTGCACAGTGTCCTCGGAGGCCAGAAGATGGTGTAGGTTCCACCTGGAACTAGAAATTTGCATACATATGGGTAGAATGTTGTGCCATGACTGGACATGGTTTTGATTGTGATGATGAGATCATGAGATCATGTTATTAGAACAATGCATGAGTTAAAACAAATGCTTAAAACAAACACATGCATTTTCCTACTGACAGTAGAAGCTGAATGACATGCTTGGGGTCATATTTCCCATTTTTGAAACAACTTCATGCGATATTACAAACAAATTCGTGCACACATTGAACTGTGTTTTGTGTGCACATGTGCGCACACATGCGCAGGGGTGGAGGGGAGCACACAGGAGCACACGTAGAGGCCAGAGGCGGGGCCTTTTGAGGCAGGGTCTCTCAGCACTCACCGATTGGCTAGGCTGGCTGGCTAGTGAGCTCCAGGGACCTACCTGTTTCCACCTCTCCCAGCCTGTCACAGCAGGTTTACAGAGGCATGTGACCAAGCTTGGTCACATGGGTACTGCTGGTCTGAACACAGGCCCTGGTACTTTATTGACTGAGTGAGCTGTTACTCCACCCCTGAACTGTGTTTGAACTACCTGTCATACGGGACCAGAGATAGAATGTCCATTCCTAGCACTCAAAAGTTTCACAATTAGAAACATTTAGGATTTTGAGGTTAGGGATGCTATAACCCTGCACCATCATCACCACTAGCATTCAGACTCAACGATGTTCAGGATCTTGTCTTCAAACAGGCCATTATAGGAAGACTTGAGACCAGAAACCAGTCAGTCTCTTTACTTAGCTCTGGACAGCCTGTTCCTGCTGATCCTTGTAAAAACATACTGCCATGTGATTTGACAACACAGGCAATCTGTAGCCCACAGCCTCTCTGGTAGTCATTCTGTGGGGAGAGTTCCAAGTCCACCTGTGTGGATGTCCAGCTGTGCACTGGGCCTGCTTCCTGACTCCCTGTCTGGTTAGGGTTATTAATGCTGTGATGAAACACTATCACCAAAAGCAACTAGGGGAGGAAAGGATTTATTTCACTCACAGTTCCATAAACAATTCATCGTGGAAAGCAGTGAGGCAGGAGGAACTCAAGCAGGGCAGGAACCTGGAAGCAGGAGCTGATGCAGAGGCCATGGATGGATACTGCTCTCCTCCTGGCTTGCTCAGTCTGCTTTC